AGCTTCTCCTCTGCAATGCCCCTCTACCATGCCACCCTGCCTTGGAGCCAGCTGACTATGCACTGAAACCTTCATAAACTGTGAGCTCAATAAACCTTTCTTCCTCCTTTACCTTTGGTGTCAGATATTTTGTCTCAGCAAAGACAGAAGTAAGAAAATTGCCTTCCAAAACTTAATGTAAAATTTTCAGCACATAAAGTCTAGATCTTCCTCTATTTTATAGACTGAAAATAGGTGCTTTCTTCTGTATTTTTCTTATATCTAGTTACTGTCCTGCCTGACCATTATTAGCATTTTCCTGTTTCAGAGCAAGAATTAGTTTTTGAAGAACGGAAAGGAATTTCATCTGTTACCAAAAGAGAAGGAAAAGATTTTACTTTTCCTCCACAGTCATACTCTTAGTAGGTTTTCCATAAGCATTTCTACAATCTCTAAAGGGAATGTCATGGATGTGTTTGGATGCCCCACAAAGACTCCTGTGGTCACAGGTGGGGCTTTCTTGGAGGTGGATCTAGAGTGTGCAATGTAGGGATTAAGGGCATGTGACTACTAGATTAGTCCACTAATTGGCTTGGCACATGTACTAAGCCAAGTATCCTAGGTAGACTACAAAATGGACAGAAAGAAGCTTCTCTTCTCACTTGTGGCTTGTTGCTTGCCTTGTTGCCTTCTGCCTGCCATGAAGGGTTCTCCTCTGCAATGCTCTCTCCTATGGCACCCCGCCTTAGGGCTAGGTAACTATGAACTGAAATCCCTACAAATTGTGAGCTAAATAAACCTTTCCTCCTTTAACTCTGGGTGTTGGATATTTTGTCCCAGCAATGAGAAAAGTTAACTAATACAGGGAAATAACATCCCCAACTATGCCACTTGAAGAATTATAGCTATCAACAAGTCAGATGTCCAATCTAATGAAGGAAAAAAAGGGACCTACAATTATGTATATTTTTCTCTGTGCTGAACTGACTTAAAAGTCTTATAGATAAATCTAGTACAGGATACACATACACATGCAAACTTTACTTAAGGTATAAATGATATGTGTCTCTATATCTATCATTTATCTATATATATACATTTTTCTTTAGATTATATGAATCTCTAGCAGTGGTCACTAGACTCTTAAGCCAGGTATGACAGAATGTTTTCAAATTCTGTTAGCTTTGATAATATTAAAATGCTATGTATTATCTGTGTTGAGACTATGACAGAGCTCAGTAAAAAGTGTTCAATCTCAACTGTATCAATAACACAGTACTGGAATCGGTTGTTTTTGTTTGTTTGTTTTGTTTTGTTTTGTTTTCCCTTTTTTTTCTTTCCATGGGCTGGAAACGAAACTCAGAACACACTCATGTATGTTTTGGTAAGTGGTCTGCCACTGAGCTACACAACCAGATGTATAGATATTACAGCAGGTGACAAGATAATCTCTCTGTTGTTGGTGACCTAATGATAATATCCTACCTGCATAGAAACTCTCTCTTCATCATATATATACCTTCAATGAGTGACATTTGGCTGATTGAATCATAATTCTACTCATGAGACAATGCAATGTTTCACTCCTTAGTTATTAAGCATTAGTCAAACTTTATAATTCAGTTTAATAAAAGAAATCACCTGCCAATTTAGTAAAATAAAGCATTGTCATTATTTTGAAGTAACCTGTTGGTTTGGGCTAGAAAAAGGGAATTGTATTTGGGGTACTTAGGGCCCTATCAAAACACAACCAGTATTACTATACATAGCAGTCCTGGTCCTGCACTATAACAGAAAGGAATAGAACAACATAGAAAGGCAATGTGTTCTTATCCATCTAAAGGGAGGGGAAGCATGTTAACATTATTGATGCATATATTAACTTAGGATTTTATATCTCTTTTGTCATTACTCATCACACAATTTATTAACAGTCTTAATCTACAGTTTATAGACAAGCACACAATATAAGGGAAAATTTAATGCAGTTGTTCTTTGAAATATTCTAGATTTAAAGTTAGTAATTTTCAAATTAATGTTTAATTGACCTGCTACTGTATGTTTGGACAAAATTCCTGTCTGCATGAAGACAAGCAAGCTGGAAAATTTGCCAAGGGTACTATAATTCTTTGTCTTGAACAATTCATTTAAGTACTGAAACTTGAATTGGTTTCCACCCTTTTATATTATTCAGTCATTTCAGAAGAAATTGTATGTTCTACTATTGGTACTCTTGGATGATTTATAACCCCTGGACACAGAAGAAGTTGCATAAATTCTGCATCACATACAGGAGGGAGAAGGTACACTAACATGCAGAGCTGCTTTATTCTGTAAAGGAATAAGATGTCAGTGGAGTTTTGGGGTCCTCCCTGACATTAGCCTTCTGTGTTAGTCTATCGTATTTGTTACAATCCTTTACCAGTGATGTGTAAAACATCAATATCCAGCAATGATGGCATTCCTGTGAACTTTAATATTTAATATCAGAATGGACTTGGATAATTAAATGATTTTAATATAATGAAACAAACAAACAGACATTTCTGTTTTTGCTCCTCACAGTTCTATAGATGAGTAAAGTAGACAACACTATCCTTTCCTTGGTGCTGAAGCAGGTAAAGCAAATGGGGAAACAGTATCAGGCAGAGTTACTTTGATGGCAAAATGTATAAAGACAACACTGAGAAAGGCATCAGCAGCCTTCACTATACTTACACATTTATATATGTACTAGGTGTGTGTGTGTGTGTGTGTGTGTGTGTGTACGTGTGTGTGTATACACACACACAAAGGTGATAAACCCTAAGGAAAATTAAAGTGAAGAAGGCCAGAGCATAATGGGACAATGCACTGATATATTCGATTGGTCAGTCAGTAAAAATATGAGCAAAATATAACAAGATTGTACAGTAAAAAGTAATGGAAGAAGCTACTTTAGACTGCATGGTTGGGGAAGAATTTCCCTCAGAGCTAACATTAGAGGTAATGCCTGAATGCCAAAGCATTGTTGTGCTACTATCTCGGAGAAGAATCTTCAAAGGCCATTGGGGAACAGTGAGCTTGGAATGTTAGATGAAGCAAGCTAGGATGCCTGGAGCCCATAGGGGGCAGTTTGCAGAACTGAAATCACAGATCTCTACAGGCAGCAAGGTCACAGAAGCCACAGTGAGGTTACTGCACTTCACTGGGGTCTCCACACATGCTGCATCTTGCTTTGGGGGTACTACTTCCCAGATATGACCAGATACTTATTGTATTGTTCTGCACAAGTCTGGGTACGTTTGGCTGGCTACTATATCAATCCCACAGTCAAATACCATGCCAAGCACAATGCTAAATAATTGGGGTGCGGTGTGGACTGAGAGGGACACCACCAGCGCTGGCTCACGCGTGTGTAGTTCAGGGGAGGAGAAAGTGAGATATATTATTGACACTTACAATAAATCCCCCTTTTATATGCATTACCCTATTTTAAATTTGCAACACAACTGTGATAGAATTCATTATAATTATCTTCATTTTAAAGATTAAAAAGCTGAAGCTCTGAGAATTTAAATGACTACAGTCATGATATGCATCCTATGTGAATCACCAAAGGTGTGGTCTGAACTAAATATGCCAAAACTCCTCACTCAGTATAGCAGTAGCCATTTCATTTGAAGGCAAAAGGAACAGAAAACATATCATCCACATCCTTAAGAAATATGAAATCTATTTAGAGAATTTTTCAGATGCACTTCAGATAACAGCTTGGGCAAAAATGCTATGTGCAGTTAAGAATACTCAGATTGGTTTGGGACTATTCTATAACCTCCTGACAAAAATTAAATTTTAAACTGGGCATATAAATAATGTGGCTAGATCTTGATGCATTTATATTCCACAAATTCTCTGATTTTTTTAAACTATTCTTAAAATCATTGCCAATCAATCTTGCCCATTTCCTGTGAGTTTATTGCTTAGCATAAATATCCAGTTTCTTCATTTTGTAGATTAATCTTATCTCCTCACTTTTTATGCTGAACACTTCTGTCCAGACTCTGCAGAAAACTTTACTCAGCACTTCCTTCTTATTATTTAATTCCCAGCTCCAAACTGGATGCCAAGATTTCTATGTGAATAACCTCTTCCTAGAATGCCAAACTGTTCCCCTTAGGAAATGCCACTCATTTAATCTCTATTTCTTAGAAAACCAGTGAATTCCACTCCACTTGCAACTCTGAATTTGCTGTCTCACTAAATGAATATTCTGTTTTTCTCACTAAGTGCAGCAAGTGTTTTTTTTTCTAATTTTGCTCGAAGTAGACAAATGCTTGTTTCTATTAGTTTTGATTATTTTATACTATATCTTATAATGAGCCAGTACCTTGTATACTAGCACATAAAATATAGTGAATCATTTAAAATTATATAATTGCCTTATTTGATATAAATTATATATCTAATCTCTTTCCCTTCCACTATACTGGCAAATATTAGCAAATGTTTTCTATCTTAGTTGTAAAATTACAAAATTTATAATTTTTTTTTTTTTTTTTGGTTTTTCTCTGGTACCAGGAACTGAACTCACGACCTTGCGCTTGCCAGGCAGGCACTTTTGCTGCTGAGCTAAATCCCCAGCCCC